CATGTTTTTTCCTTCTCCTGTAAAGCTACCATTTTGGAGATACAAGATTTTCTTCAGACAACAGCGACATACTTCCTCCAAGACACAGCATTTCTTCAAACTGTTAACACATTGTCACTGGACAGCTAAATGTGCTTGGAGGAGAACGCTGAGTGATGGCGGAGTCCCTAAAGAACCTTTCAATGGTTGTTTAAAGACCCGGATTTACATTTACATTTATGGCATTTGGCAGACGCTCTTAGCCAGAGCGACTTACAATGTTTAATTATTTTACACAGGTAGGTGAAGGTAGTGTTAGGAGTCTTGCCCACGGATTCTTATTGGTATAGTGAAGGGAGCCCGCCAAGGCCTTGAGGCGTTACCCACTACACTATACCAACCCTATTTGATTTGTAAATGAGATGTGGAAGCCTGAAGAACCTACAGATTAAAAAAAAAAAGTATAATTTTGAAAAATCCTGTATAATTCAACAGTTAAGATAATGTAAACAAAGTCATTCAGAGTGGGTTGATGTGAAACGCTTCACTCTAGAGAAACTGAATTCTTCAGTCACAGTTGTTTACAGCGGAGCTGATAGGAATCAGACGTCTGAAGTGCTTAATGAATCTGAAAGCTAACAGGAAGCTGTTATATTGAATGGTTTTGAATACATCGCCTCATGAGACATTGTTTAGCGATAATGAGAAGGTTCTGTTCTTAAACATATTTTTAAAGTACATGCAGGGTGGAGAGGTACATGCAGTGCAAAATAGTATCCAAAGAAGAAGTTTTTCAGACATTGTTTTTACTTTTACATATTGAAACTGTAGGTTCACTGATCATTCTGGATGCCAAATTAAATATATTTGTGTTTTAGACATTGCGACGCCTGGTTCCCATCAAAACCAGTAAAGAAAGTTGGCTTTCCAATCCAAGTTTCCAAGAAATCCGTGAACCTTTAACCCTTGTGTGGTGTTCAGGTCTGTGGGACCCGTTTTCAATGTTTACCAAAGGAAAAAATGATGTGGTTTATTATTATTTCAGCCTCAGATTCTTGGCCTTTGCTCGTTTTCTGTGAAGAACATATAAAATAACCCATTTTCAGTGTCTTCACTCTGTTCACCCCCCACACATTTATATTACACATGTGGTGTTGGGTGAACCAGTGGGGAGTAAAAGTGTGGAGGTGCTGTGTCCTTCACTCTGTTCTCCTCCTACATGGCCTGCTGTTAGTGTGTGTGTGTGTGTGTGTGTGTGTGTGTGTGTGTGTGTGTGTGTGAGGGTGGACAACATGGACAGGCTGCTGACTGGCTACAGCTGCTAAAGGAGAACCCTACGCTGGACACTTGTGATATTTTAAACATCTGGTATTTTTACATAAATTGTTATGGCTGTATTGATTTAAAAAAACAATAACGCGGTGGGTCCAGCAGACCACTGAGCAACAAACACCTCAACACCACACAAGGGTTAAAGACCCTAAAGGCTTATTTTAAGAGTGTACTCCCAAATGAACCTGCCCTAAAACTGAACAACATGGAGTGTGAGAAAATAAAGGCTTCAGTTGATCAGAATTAAGGGAGTGCAGTACAGGCAGATGGACACTAGTTGCTGGTTGCAGGAGTGGACAGTGTACCAGACTAGTAAACACTTGAGGATTGCTTTGCATCTGACATGGCTTAAATGTTTTGACTAACTGGTTTGTAGATGTGTGATGATGCACATGCTGTACTGTCAGGTTCAAGTTGAAAAGTGATTCTGAGGTCAAGAATCAATCGATTTTTGACGTGTCCGTGGTTCTTCCTTCTGCATGGAGTCAATTGAAATGATCATAATGCAGAATCTAGTCCATGTGGTCAGCGTAAACCAAGTAATCACCAGTTGTTTTGGTACGTCAGTTAGACATCGGTTGTGCGTCCACTGGAAACACGAACTTCTAGCTTTTCCACCAGAGCAGCTACAAAGATGTCACTGTTGTCGGAAGAAAACCTCGTATCTCCAAAATGGTAACTTTACAGGAGAAGGAAAAAACCTGCTTTACTTTTAATGTAAGTCAATGGAACCAGACTTTTTTCCGAGTAATTTTGGGCCGTTTCTTTTGGTCCATTCCTCATGAAATTTACACACAATGTAAAGAGAAACCGGCATTTTCAAATTATGCCAAAAACTGAAAAACAACAAAAATGAAGGTACGAGGTTTTGTTCCGACAGCAGTGATAAACATGTTTACATGCGAACAGAATGTGCCACAAAGGTGTCGCCGCTTGGTGTCTGAAGCCATAAGGAGCAAAGCAGATGCCAGGGCGGATGAGCCAGGGTCCTATAGACACCCCTATAGAGAAAACACATGGACCAGAGAGAGAGAGGCCGAGGCCGTAGCCTTCGCTATACAGTGAGTTGGCATAAGCAGTGTGGGTTGACCTTGAGCTTTGGCCTTTCCGTAGTACAATGTCACGGTTTTAAACTCTCAAGTGCTACAAACTTGGACTGAGAGGGGGAAAACCAGGCCGAGGAAAGCCAGTAAATTGGAGGACAGGAAGGAGGAAGTGATGAGGCAGGGGTGACTGTAATGTGGACAGAGTGGTTGAGTTTTACCCTTGATCTTTGAGTGAGCGATCTGCTGTCTTGGCTCACTGCTCCACCCTCCCATATGCTTTATTAGCTGGCAAATCAACCATAGCGCTCTCTCTCTCTCTCTCTCTCTCTCTCTCTCTCTCGCTCTATCTCTGCCTCCCTCTTTATATAGCTCTTCTAATGAATCCTTTAACAATCAACGATAAAAGTAAAATCATATGTTGGCTTTGGAAAATCTCTCCCCGAGCCTGAAGTTTCCCCTCCCAGACACAGAGCCGGTGGCGTGGGGAACTCATCAACTCCGCTTTATACTCAGAATGACCGCATCATTAAACCTGTATCACATGTGGCGTGAAGTCTGCGTTCATTTAATGCTTCATAAATGTAGGGTGATCCCTCAGCTTGTGACAATCTAATAACAGAAACGGTTGTAAGACTGAGTTTAAGCCAGGACCTCACTGATGAGGCTCTGTGGTCCTTGAAAATTCCACCCGATTTGAGAAATGCTTTAGGAAATTATGTAATATTTTCGTTTACTGGTTAAAATTCAGGATTATGGGATTATGGCCACAGTACTGAGAAGACCTCATAAATGATGCTGTATAAGCCGAAGAATGTCTAAGTCAGTAGTGAGTAAATACAGTATGTAATATATCAGCTTTGGTGCAGTGTAATAGTGTAATAGGGTGATGATGGAATTAAGAGTATTAAGAGATGAGGAGGGGGAGTAGAAGCTGATTGAGGAAGAGGGAGAGAGGGAGAGAGGGAACGACGGGGGGTGAGAGAGGGGAGGCAGTATTGTTTGATGTTGGGATGTGATTTCCATATTGGGTCACCTATTTTGGGAGCGAGCGCAATCCGTATGAACGTTTCCAGGTTCCTGAGTCTGTTCTGGTTACAGGGGGAATGAGTAAGCTGATCGCCCGCTGCCTACGCACAGCGCACCCCACACACATGCTCCTGCATGCTTTAACCCTGTCTCACACACACATGTACACACTTAAATATGCACTCTCTGTCGGGTGTTTTGCATCAGTACTTCAGTACTGACATAGGTCTCTCTCTCTCTCTGTCTCTCTCTCTCTTGTTCTATCACTTTGTTCACATTACAGGGTTGAAGTGGCACAAATCAGATTTTTTGCCTAAATGTGAAATCAGTCTTGTTTCTTTTGAACTGTGTGAACACAAAAATCTGATCTGTTTTCAGTCAGATTTCAACCACTTCCATATGTGGCCCCAGATGACCCACAAATGCAATCAGATAATCCTTTGTTATTCCCACAACAGAGAAATTCTCAGTGTTACAGCAGCAAAGGGAGAGCAAGGCACTCAGGAAAAGGAAAGAAGTAACAAGAAGGGAATTATTAAGCAAGAAATTCACCTAAATTACCTAACAAGGTTTTTACAGTTTGTTACTTGTTACTATATAGACAATATATATAATACTAAAAGTATAAAATAAGATAAAAATATAATATTCACAAAGATTAACAATATAAAGGATTATAAATAAATAAAAAATAAGATATTTACACCGATCAGGCATAACATTATGACCACCTCCTTGTTTCTACGCTCATTGTCCATTTTATCAGCTCCACTTACTATATAGGTGCACTTTGTAGTTCTACAGTTACAGACTGTAGTCCATCTGTTTCTCTGATACTTTGTTAGCCCCCTTTTACCCTGTTCTTCAGTGGTCAGGACCCCCATGGACCCTCACAGAGCAGGTACTATTTGTGTATGTTGTGCTGGTATGGGTGGATCAGACACAGCAGTGCACCATCATTTAAAATTGCATCACTTTACCTGAAACTATGAATTTACATCATCTAGAAAATAAAGAATATTTAAATCCCTCATTTCATCAAGCATGTATTTGGTTTCATTGTCGCTCCAAAAGTGCTGCATCTCGCGGCAACGCTGCTTATTTCCGTTCCGCACATGCGCAGACTGAGAAATCTGAAAGAAATCAGAGTAAGAGCTTACATCCACTGATTATCCAGCTAAAATTCAGCTGTAATCTGATTTCTAGATCGGAGTATGGTGTTTACATGACCATTTGAATAATCTGATAACTGTAGAAATCCGATTGTGATCGGATTATTGAGCGCATGTATACACACTCATTGTTTTATAATAGTTTTGAAATAAAATTTTGGCCTAAGAGATGTTTTTAAAATACATCTAAAGGTAAATGAAGGGTGATATAAAGCAAAATAGTCTCTAGAAAATATAATTTTACCATTTTTATCATTAATAACCTAAAACTCATGTAGGTTTATTGGTCATTTTGGGTGGTCAGTCCAAGTCAGTAAGTTTCTCTACAGTTTTACATCAAAATTTTGACAGGCGCAATTTCTTTGTATGGTCTCAGCTTGTGGTTCAAGCCCAATTAAAGCTCTATCCCTTTCTTGCCCTCTACCCCCCTGTCCCCCCCACTCAGACAGGAACACTGGAATCCAAAGGCCAGCCGGAGCTCCGCCCCCAGCACGGCGACACCCACAACGATGATGACAACGGCAGACCTGGTCATGGCACTGCTCCCATCCCTTCTGCTCACAGCAACACCCTACAAGCTCGCCACCCCTCATCCAGCTCCACCTACCAGTACCCTTACTCCACCCTGTGCAAGCCCTCGGCCGACGTGGACATGGAGGACTGGGCCAGCAAAAACTTTAACCTGCACACTCAGGGTCTGTTCCGCCGCCGCGTCTCCATCGCCAACATGCTGTCGTGGAACGGCGGCTCCATCAAGAAGCCCATGCTGATCACCAGCGACCGAGCCGTCAAGAAGGAAGCCTGCGAGATGTTTAAGCTGGTGCAGGTGTACATGGGCGACCGGCCGGCCCGTCTGGACCGCCGTCACGCTGCCCTGCTGGTGGTCACCAAGTGCTGGGGTACACAGGGCCTGAGGGACGAGCTGTACGTGCAGCTCGTTAGGCAAACCACGGACAACCTGTGCCTGCACAGCCTGGAGGCCGGTTGGGAGCTGATGGCCATCAGCCTGGCCTTTTTCTCTCCCTCACCCAAGTTCAGACGCTACCTGGAGGGCTACATTCAGAGACATCTGGAGCCCAGTAATGACAAGAAGAGTGAGTATGCAAGTTGTGCTCACGTAGGAGCTCGAGTCTGTAATACTCAACCTATTCATCGTATTTGTTTTGTATACTGGCGTCAAAGTTAACCTGTTAACATGATAAAGTATAAATGCTACCAGGTCTTTTGAACATGTTAACACGTTTTTCTAGTTTGACCCTTTGAACCAGCGTGAAGCCCAGCTGCTCAGCTGCTTCTCTAAGACTGTAGCCCTTTCGTTCAAATATACCTTTTAAATTGCTAAATAGCTCTCTTGATAAAACCAAAGCTCCAGCTACTGCCACAGTATTTTTTTTATTATTAATTAAGCATAGACACAGTGGTGCAATGGTGTTTTAAGGCCACAAACTCGTAATATTTCGTGAATAACGTCATAATATTTCAATAATAAAGTCGTAAAGTTACAAGAATGGATTCATGATATTTGGAGGATAAAGTGTGCTAACTGTAGGGGGCTGCCATAATGCTTTGGGGCCTCGGTTGCTGTACTGGCATCGACAAAAGATGCTGAGCACGCCGGAGTTCCACACACTCTTTTCGGATCGATTATTTTGATGATCATTTTCATTGTCTCCTGTGAAACTTCATGCCCTGTTTGAAAGGCATGGAGATGTAGCCACCGATAGCCGTGTAGACGACCCTGCCTGAGATTCTCCTTCAATAAAACAGACAGACAGACAGTTTCCTCCGAGTCCGTCTGGCTCTTTATTCTAAATTCAATTTATACATTTGAAAATGTAATTCTTAATAGTAGAAACGAAACTTTCACACATAAAAAATTCATTCATCAAAAATTAAATTTTTACTATTTTGGGTATCAAGAATTTCATTTTAACTAGTAAAAATTTAATTCATGATGTCAAAAATTGAATTTCTACATGTGAAAATTTAAATTTTACTAGTAAAAAATTTTCCCGCATTAAAATGAATGGGGAATCTCATGAATTATCACTAGTAAAAATAAAATTTTGCCTAGTAAGAATTACATTTTAACTAGAGAAAATTAAGTTTTCACGTGTGCACATTGAATTCCTGATTATTAAAAGCTGAAATGGCTTGCTGTAGCCCTACAGATAGATGAATGAGATGTAAGGTAGCGGGATGGGAGTGAGAGGCTACAGCCACCATTTTTCTCGCTGGATGCTGTTGAGGAAAATTGGAAACTGCATTCACTCATGTTTCATGATGAAGCTAATTTTGTCCACTCATATACTAGAACTTTCTTTAGGGTCAAATTTGCAAATAAGACAACTGTGATTAATCATGATTATACAGTTAGTTCCGGCCAGGCAAGCTGATTGGTTGAGAAGCATTCTAGCCGTGCTGTTATTTTGCCATAACATCACGTTTTTTTCACAAACACTGTATCACTCCGCTAAACAACCTGGAATCAGCCAGAAATGAACCCAACACCATTCACCAAACTAAATGGGCTGTAAGATGCTTTACAAACTGGCTGGAACAAAACAACATTAATATTGATCCAGCTGACAAAACTGAGCTGAACTTGATATTGCGGCAGTTTTATGTCTCAGGCGAGGTTTACAGCAGACTGAGCAGTGAGTGGGCGGAGCTCGTTACTCTGATGTAGCAACAAGCTGCTTGTTAAGGAACTATAATTTGGTGAAGGAACTGCAAACATTAAAACATATTAAATGCCGCGTTCACGGCCCAGTTTATTAATTTATTACTTTATTTATTTAACTGTTGTATAAAAGCAATAGAGCACTCGAGGAGTGTGTTACCGCCAATAACATCACGGCTGTGATGATCTACGGCGACCAAATCACAGCCTTGATGTTATTTCATGATAACACACTCCCTCTCATGTTCTATTGCTTAATTAACTACACAAAATAGTGTGATTATTAAGACTTTCATGCCTCATGAGTTGATCAGCTCTTTTGAAGTACGAGGCTTTATGGATGTTACTCCTATTATAACTTTGAGTCATTCCAGAACGAGCTACACCACCAGTCATCAGCTTCCTACTAACTACTGTACGTCTGAGAGGTTGAAGAAGAATCTGCAGTCAAACAAGTTTAGTAATACTGACACCATTGATTCCAAAGTTGTCAGTGGTAGTGTAGATCTCTCCTTTTGAGTGATGTGAATTTGGATCATCTTTTAAAAACAACATCCAAGCCAGTGCGTCTGTTTGTGTGTTTCGAGCTCCTACAGTGTGTAGATACGGAATTTGAAGTTCATTTGCTTCCGATGTTTTTCTCTTTGCCTTTTTAAACCGACGGCGAATGTTTACGTTTCAGGTACGCCCCTGCGGCTCCAAACATACACTTACATCGCGAGTCAATATTAGTTTCAGTGCTAAAATTATGATGGCTTGGCGCCAATTCAAACAGGATGCTTGGCTGGAGATGGGAGGAAAATAAAAAGCGAGGTTACTCGAGGTCGTAGTTCAAAAGCCGTGGAACAAAGCACGATGATGTGTTTTCAGATGGAATAGTGAAATGTGTTCATACTCTGGGCAACACTTTTATCTCAAAGAGCTTTCTTTCTTCTGTTAATCAGTATTACAGAGAATTATGGAACAACAGGACATAAAAAACAAGAAGAACTCAAAGTCCAGGAAGAAGAGGAAGCAGAACAATGAAGAGGAGGAAAAGCCGGGTACGTTTTACCGCAGCGTGGCACATTCGCGCACACGCGCTAGGAGATAGGAGCCGTGTGGTCCTGGGAGATAGTGGTTTTGTGGTATTGGACAGTTGCAGTGCTGTGCATTGTGGGAGGTGTAGTGTTTCGAGGCATCTTGTTGCTAAATCCACCGAAAGGGCAATTTATTTTTTTTGTTTGTTTTTAATTTCTGCACAATTTTAATTTTTGTGAAGTAAACAGAGTCACTCACAGTAGTTTGATGTAAAATGGTGCTTTGTAGAAACTCTTACCAACTCGGATTTCTGTTCAGGGATGGTGATGGGAACCAGGGTTCTTACTGAGTGAGTTAATGTACACTCAATAATCCAGTCATAATCGGATTTCTGCAGTTGTCTGATTAGTCAAATGGTCATGTAAACACCAAATTCCGACCTAGAAATCTGATTTTAAAAAATCCAATAAAGAGAGCTGGATTTTAGCTCAGTAATCAGATTTCTCGGTGCATGTGAACTCTTACTCTGATTTCTTTCGGATTTCTCAGTCTGCGCGTGTGCGAAAACAGGCGGCGGTACTGGAAATAAGTGAGCAGCAAAACACTTTTGGACGCTGAAACCAAACACAAAATAAAGGATTAATATCCTTCATCGTCTAGATGATGTATGTTCATATTTTCAGATAAAGTGGTTCGATGTTTAAAAAAAAAAAGGGGAAGTTTTACGTTACGTTTGCATCTCGTCTTCTTCTGTGAATTCATTGGCTAGTTATAAAGCAGAAATCTGATTACTGTCTGACTCATGTAGACCCAGAGTTTCCCCATTATCTGATTACTCAAGCGCATGTAAACATTTTGATCGGATTACTGACAAAATCAGATTTTCTGCAGTTATCTGATTATTAAATGCATGTAAACACACTCAGTGTCTACAGCACATATAGCAATTTCAAATGACCAGTGAATCCACACGCGTCTTCTGAGTTTTTGTAAGTCATGTTAATAATGGTAAAATAGTGGTAAAGATGGGGGGGGGGGTTCTTTGGATGCTATTCTGCCTCACAACATCCTGCCTTTATCCTTCTGCTGTAAATATATTTGATACATACATTTCAGGCTAAAACCATATCTTGAAAGTATCATAAATCAGTGAGTGTGTTTACATGCACTTCATAATCTGCTAACTGTGGAAAATCTGACTTTGTCAGTATGCGTTTACATGCTCTTGAGTAATCAGATAATGGGTGAACTCCGGGTCTGCATGAGTCAGACAGTAATCGGATTTCTGCTTTACGACCAGCCAATAAACTCACAGAAGTGACGTGATGTAAGCATAATGTAAAATTCAAACTTCGTGCCACCACTTTACCTGAAAATATGAACATACATCATATAGAAGATGAAGAATATTTAAATCCTTCATTTCGTCAAGCATGTATTTGGTTTCAGTGTCTCTCCAAAAGTGCTACGTTCTGTTTTCACCCATGCTCAGACTGAGAAATCTGAAAGAAATCAGAGTAACAGTTTACATGCACTGAGAAATCTGATTACTGAGCTAAAATCCAGCCTCTTTATCAGATTTCTTATGCAGAGACTTCACTCTGAGTCTAGAGTCTAGAGATTCTAGACTTCACTCTGATCTAAGAAATCAGAGTGTGCTGTTTACACAACCATTTGAATAATCAGATAACTGCAAAAATCTGATTATGATTGGATTATTGGGTGCATGTAAACACACTCACTGTGTCTATGCATTAGGCAGCTTGTTTAGTGTGATACATTTCTGAGAGGGGGCCTTTAAAGGCATTAAAGCCTTCAGTCGTCTGGTTCCTATCTCCACTACTGTGAGCAATCCTGACTTGGTGTTTCACATCAAACCACTCTGAATAACTTTGTTTATGTCTTGGTACTTAAATTATGCAGGAGCATTCAAAAATTAGTGGAATTCCCCTTGGAGGAATAAACAGCTTTGAACAACTACGGCGCTTTGTCCTTATCTTAAATGATGCTTGAGGTCCTGGTTTTTGGTGTCTAAAGAGAGGGAAGCTCCTGGACATAAGCTTTGCCTAAAGAAAGTTAGGTCTGGTTTCTTATCTTAGATCCAGCCGGAGAGGAAACTAATGGGAAGATCTTCCTCTCTGTCTGTCTGTCTGTCTGTCTGTCTGTCGGTCTGTCTGTCTGTCTGTAAAACACACATCCACACCCACACACACACGCACAAATAAGATTAGAACTTAGAGCAGCAACATATTCTTCAAGTCCCACGCTCTTTTGGTTCTCTGCCAAACTGCTGAGAGAGAGACCTAATTCAGAAAAGAAAGAAAGTCCCTGTGCAAGTCCTTAAGAGGCAGAGATATCACTTAGGAAGTGTGCGCAGAATAGACAGACCAACAAAAAAAGATAGGCCATTTTTATCAGGCTACGCCCTCAGTGCCTCCATCCAGTTTAACTCTCGTCTTCTTTCCCTCCTCTCTCCCTTTTCTTTCCTCTCCCGTTCACCATTTTCCTCATTCTCTCTCACAAACATCAGCCCTTTTTTATCAAGCACCCCAGCATACACCGATCAGGCATAACATTATGACCACCTCCATCTGTTTCTCTGCATACTTTGTTAGCCCCCTTTTACCCTGTTCTTCAGTGGTCAGGACCCCCATGGACCCTCACAGAGCAGGTACTATTTGGGTGGTGGATCATTCTCAGCACTGCAGTAACGCTGACGTGGTGGTGGTGTGTTAGTGTGTGTTGCGCTGGTCTGAGTGGATCAGACGCAGCAGTGCTGCTGGAGTTTTTAAACACCTCAGTGTCACTGCTGGACTGAGAATAGTCCACCAACCAAAAATATCCAGTCAACAGCGTCCTGTGACCACTGATGAAGGACTAGAGGATGATTAGCTCATACTGTACAGCAAGAGATGAGCTATCGTCTCTGACTTTACATCTACAGGGTCGACCAACAATGCAGGTGCGCCTAATAGAGTGGACAGTGAGTGGACACAAAAACTCCAGCAGTGCATTTACAGGGTAAAAGGGGGCTAACAAAGTATCAGAGAAACAGATGGACTACAGTCTGTAACTGTAGAACTACAAAGTGCACCTATATAGTAAGTGGAGCTGATGAGCGTAGAAACAAGGAGGTGGTCATTATGTTATGCCTAGATCAGGCCTCATCAGTTCATGTGGTCCTATTCAGTGCTATGTAAAAGGCATAAACTGAAATCAGATCAACACTATTAATCTGAGATGTTTAATAAATGTGGGCCATTGTGCCCAATTCAAGTACACTACTCTGAGAACAAAGACATTGAAATGGCATCAAAGATGATATGGACTGCCGTACTAGTAAAATTCTTAATAATTAGCCTGCAACTTTTATATCGTTGCTGTTGGAAAACAAATCCTTGTATCTCTATTTTTGTGATTTTTCATTATTTGACATAATTGGAAAATACAAGCTCTCCTTTTTATTGTGTGAAAATTTCATGATGAATGGAAGAAAAGAGAAGCTCCAAAATTGCTTGGAATAAAATCTTTTTATATGAACTTCCACTGAAATTTAAGAATATCTTTTCCTCCTTATGTAAAATTACCGTTTTGGAGATACGAGGTTTTTTGGTCCTCCTGCTGGAGGAGCTACCATAAAAGAACCACTTCTGGTTCCCTAAAGAATCTTTCAGTGAGTTGATCTTAAATAGGTTTTTCAGCTCCAGTCTTGGGGACACGCTGCCCTGCAGTTTCAAGTATTCCCTGCTCCATTACACACGACTTTTAAAGCCTTATCAGATTAAAGACTGGGCGTCTCACACTATCCGACTGTTTTTGGCAGATTTTTTTGGTAGACTGAAAAATTGGGGGTCACACACTAAACGTTTAGGGATCACACACTACTCAACTTTTCAGCTGCTCCTGAACTGAACGGAGCTCACTGAACTCGCGCAAACTCTTGCAAGCTCTCGCGTTACTAGGAGACCCAAATAAACAAATGTGGAGCTGCTGCTGCTGTTTTCTCTGCCATTTGCGCTGAAACAGTAAAGAAGCAGCAGGTAAACATGTTTAAGTGAGGATTATGGATGTAAAAATATGATCTGTTTGGTATTTTTACAGTTTTAAATGTACATAAACTCACTTGTGTCTTAAACTCAGCTCATTAAAAAGCTTCGCTCCACACCTGAGGGACTTTTCACCATTTTTCTTTGTTTACTTGCTGTATTTTCTTCTTTTCTTGCTCTGTTTTCATTGGCTGTTGCAGGAATCCGTTCAGATTGAGTTGTTGATCAGTTTACACCAGATTAGACTCAGAGTCGGGCCACAAAAATCAAACGTTTGATAAAATCTGACTGGGTCTGTGCTCCTCACACACGACTCGACTCTCTCTCCAACTGTCGACTCAGACTGACCCAAAAATCTGCAGACTAGAGCCGACCAGCACAGACTCGGCCAGACTGAGAATCGAGGCTAAAATCGGGATAAAAGTCGTGTGGTGTAACCTTGGCTTAATTAAACTCATGAAGGGTATGATGATGAGTTCTCAAGTGGGATCAGGTGGGAGAACCTGAAACTGTTCAGGGCAGTGAGTCCCCAGGACTGTAGCTAAAAAACATGCTTTAATTAACAGTTTTTGTAAACTGAGATGCGTTTAAAGAAGTTTAAAGTCCGCATAATGTAAAGGTCCTGTACCAGAGTTCTTCAGATCCAGACCTTCAGTCCAGTTCTCAGTCATGTGTTTTGTAATCACTGGTAGTTAAAAGAACTGTTGATTGGCTAATTAGTGTCACACCTACCAGTGACATCAAAATCCAGGACTGAAAACTGGATTCAGGGTCTGGATTTGAAGACCTTTGTTCTGTACCAATTAGGTTTTTATCAGAACTGTACATCCAAGACAAGAACCCTTTAGGAAACTAAGAGTGTATTTACAAGAAGTTGTGTTTAGAAGTTGATGTTTCAGAGAGTTCGTTGGTGGTCAGATGTGTCCTCCCCAGGTCAGCGATGTCTGAGGGAGGTTTGTTTGCGCAAATGCACAAAT